TCAAAAAAGTTTTGGAAGTGTTTTGGATATTGTGAAAATCATAAGTGAAGCCTGGAATTAGGAATTTGGAGGAAACTCCCTTATTCAATATTTTTGAAGGCATTTGTATAACTAAAAATCATCACTGAAACTGATTGACAATGCAGAGTGAGTGGATCTAGAAGTTAACTTCTGTAAACCTGGTTATGTTGTTAGAAATTTCTCAGAAGCTCAGCGAAGTAGATATTTTTTTAAAAAAATGGAAGAGTAAGACATCATTGAAACTGTCCCTCTCCTAACATTTAGTTTTCACAAACTGAGAGGTACTCATCTGAACATCATTGAAATTTTTTTTTCTTTGTGGCAGATGTCCCTAATTTTCAATGCAGTTCAAAGGTCTCTGGAGTAAGGAAAAAATCTATGTATGCTCTAGGAAGATTTACCAGGAAAAGATGGCATGTTCTGTCCCAACTTCATTAAACTAAGAGTCTAAGAAACCTCGGCCAGTCCAGCCCTTGAAGAAAAATACCTCAAAGGAACATTTATATCATAGTTCATATTGTTTAATTTTGTATGGTTAATAAATATTTTGAAGAATATTTGTTTTGAGTTCTGACATGATATGAAGTGGATTACCAGCCCCAGCATACTGATTTATGCCAATGGGAAATAATGTACATCATCTGTATTTAAGGATGATTACTCAGTAGGAGAGTCACCTTTGTGAAGGTGAGAATATGGACGCTTGAGGGAGTTAAACAATTTAGGAATAGGTACTCAGAGCAGAACCAAAATTCCTACTCGGATCTCATTTGAAGAACTGTGTTTTTCCAGACACTTGAAAGTTGAGGACAAAAACCAATTAAAGCACAGGGCAGTTAGCAAAGGATAGTAAGAAGGAACAATGTAAGAATGAGGAAAGTAGGGAGAAATCTTATGTCATAGATACCAATAGAGAACTTCAAAGAAGAAATCAATTAACCGATAAGATTAAATGACTTAAAGGTCTGAGAAGGCACCTAGAGTTCATTAAGAGATTTTGATAAGAAGTGCTGGTAGAGGGGGAACAAAAGCCAGTTAGCAGTGGGTTGGGATGTGAACAGGATATGAAGTAGAAACAGCAAGATAAATCATTTTTAATGTGGTTAAAGGGAAGAAAGAGTTATAGCTAGAAAGGAATTTTGAGTTTTGTTTTTGATGAACTTTATTATAAACTTACTGTGGGCTAAGTGTTTTACAAAACACAAAAACATTTAATCCTCATAGAACCCCATGACATCAGTGGTAGTGTACTCATGTAATTCCTGCAACTCCAGAGGCTGAGGCAGGAGGATGACAAGTTTCAAGCTAGCCTCAGCAATTTAATGAGACCCTGTCTATAAATAAATAAATGAAATAAAAGGCTGAGGATGAAGCTCAGTGGTAGAGTTGTTTAATACCCAGTACCACACCACATACACATACAACTCCATGACAAAATCTGCATTTTATACGTAATATTCAGAGAAGTAAAATGAATTTCCCAGATTACATAGCTACACTCTCAGGAGTCAGACCCCAGAGTGCTGCACTGAAGCACACTAGCTTAATTCAGAACAAATGTTCTGTTCCTACAGCAGAAAAGGAATGAGCATGGATGAGACAAATTTGGAAGTGTTCTGGGGAATGTAGAAAATGGAGGTGGGGAATTCCCAAATGATGGACTCTCTTCTGAAGTTAGAAGTGAATTCCATGAATTCGAAGTGTTAAAGGGGCCTGAGGACAGACAAATGGAAGGAACACTTTCCATTCCTTGCCAATGAGGTGGGTAAAAAGTTTTTTAAAAAAAGTTTTCAGGGCTGGGGATGTGGCTCAAGCGGTAACGCGCTCGCCTGACATGCGCAGGGTGCTGGGTTCGATCCTCAGCACCACATAAAAATATAATAAAGATGTTGTGTCCACCAAAAACTGAAAAATAAATATTTAAAAATTCTCTCTCTCCTCTCTCTCTTTAAAAAAAAAAGTTTTCAGAGTATAATACACAGCTCTTTAAAGCAGTGTTTACAGGTGTTTTATAACTTGGGGAAATGCATGTATTATATAATAAAGTGGAAAAAAATCAGCAAGCAAAACTGTGTGTGTGTGTGTGTGTGTGTGTGTGTATATATATATATATATATATATATATATATATATATATATTTAAAGCATTAAACAAAAGAGCATGAGACTAAAATGATCATTAATTGAAAACTTCAATTATGGGGCTGGGGTTGTGGCTCAGCGGTAGAGTGCTTGCCTACCGTGTGCAAGGCCCTAGTTTCAATCCTCAGTGCCACATAAAAATAAATAATAAAATAAAGGTATTGTGTCAACTATAACTAAAAAATAAATAAAAAGAAAACTGTGATTATGAAAAATTTCCCTCTCCTTTTTCATTTTAAACTTATCCTATTTTATTTTTAAAAAATATTTATTTTTTTAAAATATTTATTTTTTAGGTGTAGATGGACACAACACAATGCCTTTATTTTTATGTGGTGGTGAGGATCGAACCTGGGTCCTGCCCGTGTTAGGCGAGCGCTCTACCACTGAGCCACAATCCCAGCCCCTTAAATGTTCATTTTTTAGTAGTAGTTGGACACAATATCTTAATTTAATTTATTTATTTATATGTGGTGCTGAGGATCAAACCCAGGGCCTCGCAACGTGCTAGGTGAGCACTCTACCGATGAGCCACAACCCCAGCCCCAATTTATCCTATTTTAAACAATAAGTTTTATTTTATAATAAAAATAAATTTTAAAAACATTTGAGGTTATTAACATGCACAGTACAATCTGGGCAAATCACATGGCTTACCAAGATTTGTCCAATGATGATGCCCATTCTTTCTCCAGATTTCTGATAATTGAGACCACTCCTTTGAATTCAGGTATACCAAATGGAGTTTTTCCTAGAATCTTCACCAGCATAGATGGGGAAACAGCTCCCATTTTTTTGGTCCCCCCTCCACAGAAGGGGTAGTAGTATTTGCAGGAAAAGAGAATGAACCAATAATTGAGAATGAGGAGAGCAAGATCTAAGTGTCTTATTCCCCCTAATCTTGATTTATCTCCATGAGCTTACACAAGTTTTTCTTTAGCCTAAACTTTTTAAAGTCATTTTGTCTTTTTGGCCTAAGCTATTTTGAAGAGGGTATCAGTTGCTTAAAATTAAAAGAACTTGATTATTGCAACATAGTTCTCTAAACTGGCAGCCATGAATTAAATTTTATAGATTTTGTATGACTGAGAAATGTATGGCAAAGATCTGAGTGTTCCTGGGTTAATCCTTTTGTTGGAGCTCCTGCTGGATCAAGATGACATTTGACACAGTAGACTCCATCTCCTCTCTACCTGCCTAATTTTCCCTGGTTACATATGATTAGAGCATCAATTTTTTTAGTGCCTACTTTGTACAAAGCCCCAGGCATAGCCCTTTTGAGTCTGCTGAACAGGATTAAGCACCACATTTTCATTAACAAGTAAAGAGACTTATGTAGTCAGGTGATTTGGACAATTAAATGTGCAGTTTGTTTTCCTGTTTGCCACACACTGTTGCTATGATTATCAAAGAAGCTATTCTTTTTTTTTTTTTTTTTGGAGTTTGTAATTTTATTTTATTTTATTTTTTTTTAAATTTTTTTATTGTTGGTTGTTCAAAACATTACAAATTTCTTGACATATCATATTCCACACTTTGATTCAAGTGGGTTATGAACTCCCACCTTCACCCCATACACAGATTGCAGAATCACATCAGTTACACATCCATTGATTTACATATTGCCATACTAGTGTCTGTTGTGCTCCGCTGCCTTTCCCATCCTCCCCCCTCCCCCCTCCCCACCTCTCCCCTCCCCTCCCCTCCTCTCTCTCTACCCCCTTCATTGTATAACCCTGAGGGTCTCCTTCAAAGAAGCTATTCTTGAAGAAAGAGGCTAGAGATGAAGCAGGGAGATATCTTGGATTTATATTTGACATATAAAGTTGGGAAAAAGTACTGTTTTAAGCATCCTCATTCTGAAGATGTGTATATATATATGTGTGTGTGTGTGTGTGTATATATATATGTGTGTGTGTGTATGTGTATATATATATATATATATATATATATATATATATATATATATATATATATATGTATTCCATTCTGAGGGATGGAACAAATACTGAAGATGGGGAACAAATACTAAAGATATCTAAGATCTGGCTCCATCACATGCTTCTGGATTTTAGAGTCCTGGATTATAGAGTTCTGGCTCTAGCATTGAAGGGACCAAAGTGTAGAATGAAACTGCACCCATGCTTTCTGTGTTGATTGCATTCTTTGGTTTGTTTTTTTCAATCTGTGTTTATTTTGAGAACTTGCACTGTGCTAGGGATTATTAGCTAGTGATAGACACTGAGGAATACAAACAAGATATACAAGATGACCCCCTTCCATCACATACTTTTTTATTTGTACACAGTGTAGAGGAGGAATTAGGCAGAAATAACTGTATGTATAGAAAAATAAGTACTCTTTTTGGTTAACATAGTCACTATGAGGACCAAATGATATACAATCCATCAGAGAGAGAGGTAGATGTTGCTATTCTGGGAGAGGTGACACTTCCTCTATGTCTTGAAAGATGAAAGACAAGTTCGCCAAGTGGATGAGGTAAAAGAGTTTCCTAGGTAAAGAGATTAGCACAAGCAAGGCACAAAGGAATGAAACCGCTTGGGGCATTAAGGGGTGAGAACATAACATGTGTTAGAGGAAAACAAGCAAACTGGTTTTGCACATCGATTACTAGGAAGCCAGATCACTTTGCCACTTTCATGTTTTCTATTTCTGGGTTTCGATTCTGCAATAAGCAAATGGCTAAGAAATAGGAACTTCTATTTATTCTTGTTCAGACAAGAGTAGAAAACAATGATGAATAAGCAAATGAGAGAAATGTATGTAAGAAGTCCTAGGCTGTGTCAATCAAGGAGTGAATCACAACAACCATGGGAAGAAAAGGAGAGAAGAATGTCCATTGTCATTGCAACTTTGGCCTTTTCTGAGTTCTGTCTTCTAAAAAGAGCCCAGAGTAGCTGCTCCTGCCTCATCACTGGCCCTGCTGTCTTCTTCATCAGATCAGTTCTAGGTACTGTCCCTCTTGCCCTCTGTACTATGTCCTTCTTCCTGCAGTGTGTCTGGTGCTGCCTCCTCTGTGCCCAAGCCCCTATGCCAAGACTTAGGGATTGGCATGTTTTGCTTTTCCCTGTTTCCTGGTTCCTGAATACTGAGCAGTCCCTGGGGAGCTGATGGTGTAGGACAGGGCTGTATTTGGAGCTAAGCCTCTCTTCCCCTTTGGCAGAGCACCTGCTTCTCTTCCTTTCTTATTCCTTTTATCTAGAAAGGACCAGAAAGAGTAGCTCCCTCCCCACATATAGTAGAGATGTCTACTGTTGAACCCATCAGTATTGCTGTTGTGAGCTTGGCTGGAGAGCTTGCCAAGCAGGCTTGATTTGGGGTTTAGTGTGAAAGCTATAACTCAAGGAGATCCTAATCAAAGTGGCCAGAGGTACATAAGAGTTAAGTGAACATTTTTCCTGTTCTACACCTTCAATGACTATTTAAGTGGTTAGCACATTTATTTGGCATTTCCTTGACAAGTGGCAAGATTTTTTTTTTTTTTTTTTGCATTGAGCCCAGCAGGCCTCTATCATTTAGCTACATCCTCAGACCTTTTTTTCTTCTCCTTCTCCTCCTCTTCTTTCTCCTGTTTTTTCTACTTCTGAGACCAAGTCTAGTGAAATTGCTCAGGTTGGCCTTGAATTTTCCTTCCTCCTGACTCAGCTTCCTGAGTTGCTGGGATTACAGGCATGACCCACCATGCCCAGTTTACATAAGAGATAAAATCTTAGGGAGTAGTAAGAAAGGCCAATACAGAAAACCAAATTCAATTACAAGCAAATGCAGAAATCTTGGGTCCAGGCTAGTATCAGGAGTGAGTCAGAAAGGACTGGGACAGTTACCACCTGCCCTCAGCTGCTTCACTGGTTGTCAGTAGTGTGTAATTGGTATGTCATACTGGCTCACATATGAGCTCATATACACACAGGCTCACACATCTTAGAGTACCAGAGAATAGTCTGGCTTCGCCCAGGAAGAGATCAAGACCCATGTGAGGAGTCTGCAACACACATGCCCCGTCCTCTCACATTTTCCTCTTCCCAGGCTTTGGGAAGAGCTCCTTCTTCCCCCACAAGCTTCTTATGTGTGAAACTGGAGTGCATGCAGATTCAAATCTTCATGATTTCCCTTTGCCTGGAGACTTGAAGTTTCTCCCTTTGGGCATAATAAAAAAGAGAGCAATTAGAGGTGAAATGATAATGATGTCAGAAGGAAGAGATAAGGCTGGGAGTATAGAGAGTCAGGCCCCTGGGTAACTTCCTGGACAGTAAAGTAAACAGCACTTGCAGATATTTTCTAAGAAACCTACAAAAAGGCTATTTTAAAATCAGGACTTATGTGACTGAGGTCCATGCCTCTTCAAAGAAGTAAAAATGCTTGATTGATATTTTGATTGGACTAAAGTTTGAATGAATAACTTGTGGACTCTGAGTGCCTTACCCAGGGTTGGGCAGGGGGCTGACTTCCTTGAACCTATAGATCTATATAAACCTCTGGACAATAGCCACTCTTTGATATCCCTTTCTTTGAACTCTTCCCTCTTTAGGAGCTCTGCTTTCTTTCTATTACTCTAATAAATCCTGTTACTTTGCTCCCACCCTTATATCTGTGGATTTTATTCTTCAAATTCATGAGACAAAGACCTCAACCCCATGCTCCATGCTACAGTAAGAGGGAGTGAACACAGAGAGCAGGATGTGAGTAGACCCCGTTATGGGTGGGAGAGATGAGAGGAGCTGAGGTGTCAGAAGTCAGCAAAGATAGGGACAGCCAAAGGGACTGAGACAAAGTGACAGCATAAGGAGAAGGGCTTGGCTATGTTTCTATGTGCTTTAACACGTGGATTTAGCATGATTGACATACTAAGGTTATGTAACTGTCTTTGGGGAATGGATTGAAAAACACTCACTTAGCAATGAAATATTATACTTCCTTCCACCCTGGAAATTGTCCTTGCTACACAGGGTGCCCTCCATGCTCAGTGGCCAGGTCTGTACTATGTGACCATGTCCCCACTGCTAGTTGTTTGGTATAGGGTCAGATACATGAATCAAGAGGACTTGTTGGACCTCATCACAGCTCTCTGCTGATGGCAGCTGGGATATGAGAAAGTCCAGGGAGCTGCTGACATTCAGTGATGCTGAGAATTCAGGCTGCAATGTTGTTAAAGGTTGAAGCAGATTGCAGAGAGACCAGACATTGAAGACTTTGTTCCAGAGGCATCTGACAGAGGCCCACACTCAGGGTTTCCCTCCTATTCCTCTAGTTTAGTTGAAACTTGAAGCACTCAATTATTCTTCCAGTTAAGTCTCACCTGCTTTTCTTAAAGTCCTTGGTTCATTTTTTATTTCTTGAGCTATGCAACAAGAATGCTCACTTGATGACAAACAAGGTAGGTTAAGTTAATGGTACCCAGAGCTTTGTTCATCCTGAGACTCCTATAATTGTACACCTCTACATCTCAGTTGGACCCAGGAGGAGCTAGGTCAGTGGAGACTATTTCCCTCTAGCCAGTTTTGATAGTCCTGTTGGCATCTACATTTCCAGTAAGGTGTCAGTCCACTCGTGTAAGACCACAGTTCAGGAGGCAGCATGAGACCAGAAGCCTAGGCACATACCTGGAGTGTCCTCAGAAAAAGGACATCTATTTTCAGCTTTATGTGTGACCCAGCCTCTTTTTCTACTAAGCTTAATATCTGCAATGAAGCGAAATCCATTTTTAAACATGCAGGCAAATGCCCTGCACATGCTTACTCTGAATGTGCCTTGTATTTCATAAGTCACATCTATGCCAAATCAAGATGGGCTGCTGGCCAAGACACAGTACTTCCTCCTAAAGTCATCTGTGGGAGGAGAGTTAACAGTTGAGCAATTCAGGACTTTAAAGGGAACATAGTGTTTTTACATTCAACAACTTGCTGATTAAAGAAATGTTTGGGACACTTTAATAAAGCTTGAATTGGTAGTAATGAATATTGTTCAAGTTCCCTTTCCTGTTTTTGCAAAGAGAAAGCTAAAGAACACAAAGTTCAATTTGGCTATCATTAATTTTTTCTGCAAAGCTAGAGATTGAACCCAGGGCCTCTTACATGTGAGGCAAGAGCTTCATCACTAAGCTACATCCTTATCCCAGAAAGTTCGATTTGGTTTTTTTTTTTTTTTTTTTTTGGTGGTTCTGGGAATTGAATCACCAAAGGCCAGATGCATTCATGTGCTCTACTACTGAGCTACACCCTAGCCCTTTTAGTTAAAAATTTTAGTGTGTGTGTGATATTGAGAATTGAACTCAGGGATCCTCTACCACTGAGCCACATCCTTAGCTATTTTAATTTTTTATTTTGAGAAAGGGTCTCCTTAAGTGACTAACCTCAAATTTGCAATCCTTCTGCCTCCACTTCCCAAGTAGCTAAGAGTATAGCCCTATGCCTCAGCACCTGATTCAGAATGTTCAATTTTGACCACGTACAGTTTAAGGTCCCTGAGGGGCCCTGGGATGGCAATGGCCAATGGACAATCAGCTATATGTTAAGGGCCAGGACTTAGATTTGTGTATCACCAGCATTTGGAGAATTCTTGAAATCTTGGGTATGAGATAATCTGACAATAATTTATAAAATGTCAGAAGTATAACCAGGACAGAGTACTGGGGATGGCAACTATGGCGTTGATGGGGAAAAAGGGATTAGTGGGGAAGAGGGAGGAGAGCATTCAAGGAGATGGAAGAAAGTGAGGGGGAACCAGCAGCTCAGTAGCCCCAGGAGAAGATAAATAGTGGTCAGCACAGAGAAGAGGAATGGGAAGAAGATAAGGACCGAGGGGTTCCTCCAATTGAGCCACAAGGAAATCTCCATAATATTGGAAAGAGCGGCTGCAGTGGTGTAGTGTAGAGAGAATCCAGATGTCAGGGGGTTGAAGATCCTGGAACCTGTCTATAGAACAGGATTTACCCTACATTGCTCAGCAGCATGTAATGTCGTGAGATGAGGAAGGGAGAGCTGCAAGAGAAGATGACTATGCTTGGAGAACGAGGTTTTTGTTAGGAAGTATAATACTTCTAGGTGATGACAAGGTGCAGCATGTGACCAAGGGGATGAGGATCCCGAGCTATAAGAAGAGCAAAAGTCATGAGAGATGAGGAGTTGGAGACTTTAAGACATAGAATGTGCTAACCACAGGAACACCAAGTGGTCCAGTATGATGGCAGTATTTCCCCTGGAAGCCTGTGAGTCAGGAGCCAGAATTCTCCATGAATGCTGGGGAAGTTAGCAGATGGCAGTACAAAGAAAGGAACCTCAAAGAAGAGGGAAGGTCTAATGAGGCAGTGAGGGAGGAAAGATAATGCTATCTTTGTGAGGTAATAGGTGGGCTATGAAAATCAGTTGGCTTCTCTCAAGAGGTAATCAAAGAGCCAGGAATGGTAGCCACATGCCTGTAATCCTAGTAGCTCAGGAGGCTGAGGCAGGAGGATCTCAAGTCCAAAGCCAGCCTCAGCAATTTTGTGAGGCTCTAAGCAACTCAGAGACCCTGCCTCTAAAAAAATACAAAAAAAGGGGGACTGGGGATGGGATTGTGGCTCAGTAGTAGAGCACTTGCTGGGCATGTGTGAGGCACTGGGTTGGATTCTCAGCATCACATACCAATAAATAAATAATTTTTTTTAAAATGGGGGCGCTGAGGTTTTATTTAGCTCAGCAGTACAGTGCTTGCCTAGCACGTGTGAGACCATGAGTTTGATCCTGAGCACTACACAAAAATAAATAAATAAAATAAGGATATAGTGTCCAACAACAACAAAAATACAAAAAAGGGCTGGGAATGTGGCTCAGTGGTTGAGTACTCCTGAGTTCAATCCCCAGTATCCCCCTCCCAGCTAAAGAACACACAAGACAAAAAAAAAAAAAAAAAAGGGAAGTAATCAAAGGAGCAAGATAGGGTGGCATGTACCTATAATCCCAGCTACTTGGGAAA